CTAATAAGAGGGAACTTTTCTCATTGCTGAACATCTCGTTTTTTTTGTGTTATTCTTACATTAATTCTCTCTCCTCAAGACTTCAAGCATCCAAGATTTTGTTGCCAATATTTCAAGGAGCCATCCAATAGCGTGTGTGATTCAGTTTTATTTTCTAAACTCTTCATCTTGTTTTTTCTTTTCATTATGTCTTCAAGTATGATTGATTTGATTTCAAGTATGACTTGAGTTTTATTAATTACTATGTCCAGCTAAGCTCTAATACTAGGGATTTGATGTAACTTAATTCGATTTCAGTTATAATATTAGATTTATGTCATTGTTCTTGTTATAACTTATTATTGTTGCTTAAGCTTTCCAGGCAGAAGAAAATTTCCCCTGGATTGAGTTATTTCAATAATCGCTATCGGGAGAAGGGTTATTGATATGAAAAAGATAATAATTTACTTGAGAACAATAACTTGAAGCGGAAGCTATATGGTTTGACTCAAGGGGGTTTTCATAAGTTAATGATTATTAGGTTATGAACTAGCAAAACAGCCACAAAACCCAAGGATCTGATTTATGTTTAATTTCACTATTAGAATATAGGTAATTAAACTAAATTAGACTAGCTAACAATACATCGGAGGAGCTTGTTAGTAACTCTAGGGTTGTTTCTCTTACTTGAACAATTAAAATTGATTAATGATTAAAATTGGATTAATGAACTAATAAGAGTAAGCGCTGGTATAGAATTAAGTGAAATCAAATTCCCGTAGTAGTTTTATTCCCTGAAAATTCTTTTCACCTAAAGTTGTTGTGCTTGAATTCTCTTTTCTGTTTTTAATTTCAAATTTATTTTTCGCTTATAGCAAATTCTCGTCTTGTAGTTATCGGTTTTATTTTCCTTATAGCAATTCTCTCTTATTATCGTTTAAATAATAATAGGTTAACATAATTTTGGTAATTGATATACAATCCCTATGGATATGATACTTTCTTACTCTATATTACTTGTTGCGATTTCGTACACTTGCGAAAATCACTGTCAATGAAGACAGAAATACTTAATGCATTATACATGTTTACCATATGTTTTACAATTCATATAATTGTACACATATGTAGGTTGTGTTATTTGTAGTACAGATGGCTAGAGGCAGGACAGTTGATTCAGACGCGTTTGGTAGTGGTCCGCATGGAGGTCGTGGCCGAGGACGCAGTACATGTGTACGAGCAGGGACTATCCCTCCTCCTTCTTCTTCAGGTACGTTTGGGGCTTCATCCTCTACTCAGCCTCCCATGCCGTCATCACTTCCTTCTATTCCTTCCTCTTCTACCCCACTTCCTGGACCAGTGGAGTCTTCACCAGCTTCACTGTCACCTACTGCACCAGTTAATCATAAATTTCATAAACTGTCATTTCAGTTATATACTAATTATTTATCTGTATTGATAGCATTTGTCACTTCTTTTGCAGCTTCATTAGAGCCACGTAACAAGCTCAGTTTGGTAGCAAGACAGTAAGTACTTATTTACTTTTTCCTTTGTACTTGGTTTTGTTCAGATTTTGATGTTTTCGTCTACTTATATTTCATTTATGTTTTTTTTCTCAGCATATATCCATTCTCTCGAGCATCAAGGCAAATTATGAGGATAATCAAGCTACATCTCGATAAAGATGGATACACATGGGATGCCGTACCACAGGAGGCGAGAGAGAGGATAATCAAGGCTAGCATCTCGATGAAAGATGGATAACACAATGGGATGCGCCCGTACCACGCAGGAGGCGAGGAGACTTTTTTATTGGGAAGAAGTTTCAGGTACGAATTTTGGTTCAAGTTTTTCTTGGCATTCATATGTAGATTGAATAATTCAAGCTACCAATCCCTTTTATCTGAAATTTTATGCTTTGCATTCTTGCAGAAGCATTTTGTGATGGGAAAAGGCCATTACGGCATATGCTAGTGGCACTGGGAGAAAATTGTGCGCTCTACAATATGCTGACGTTCAAGGAGAAATTGTGCGCTCTACAATATGCTGACTTCACCTATAGGATGCGAAAAAGCGGTAAGAAGCAGTAGTGCGTGTCTCAAGAGATATGGGAGAGCTGATAAAAGGCTTGGGAGGATCCTGCATTCAAGAGAAAGCGTTAGATATTTGCACAAAACATGCACAGTGAGACTGGCGGTGACGGAGCAAGACCTTCTCGACACACAGGCGAATCAATATCTGCTATAGAGACATCTTGATTATTAATGAGTCAACTAGTCACAGTTATAAAACTGATGTTTAATGAAATGACACCATATTAATATATCATGCATAAAAATCCATTACAAGCTAAAAATATGGTCGTGAGCCTACACCGATGGACGTGTTTACTTACAGTCACACAAAGGACCACGATGGAAATATGTTGGTCGACAAACGTGCGTTGGCCGTCAATGTAAGTAACAATGAAAAATATTTACATTTACCTTCTAGTCGTCTCTTACGTGTACAAGTTCAATATAATAAAGCTTGCAACTACATTATAAAGCTGGCAACTACATTGATTAATTAATTTGTTTTCAGGAGAACTACAGTACAACACGAGAGTGTTTTATTTCTTCTAGCGCTGGAAATCCTGAAAGGCTGAAGCTTAAGAAATTGATTTGAGTTAGCACTTTATCTGGAGGCCGTAGGGGCAAAAAGAAGAGGAAAGTATATGGCTTCGAGTCTCAGGCATCATAGTTTTACTGCGGCTCAACATTGTATGATTCTGTAGCCACCTCAGGACCACAGCCTGACCACAGTGCCGAGGAGATTACTGCATTACGGGTTTGTGTTGATGACCAGGAGAGACAGCTTGCAGAGCTTAGAGCGCATGTCATGCGGATGTATGGTCAGCCTGGTGCTGGTACTTCTTCCTCTGATACTCCGCCTGCTACAGATCGAGATGTTTCTACAGCTCTGCATTGGCCACTACCGTCTCCTCTTGATCCTGATACTGTAGACGATACCTTGGTCACTCCTGTCGACACTATGACACATCCAGCAGATACTCCTCCCAGCGCATATGACCAACCTCGTATATTTGATTTTGGACCTTTTTAGCTTTTTGTGATTTTTTCATATTTTGTATAGTACATTACATTAATAATTACATTTTTACATTGTTATTTGTGATTTTTTCCATAATTGTTGTATAGTACATTACCATTAGATAATCTACATTTGTTACATTGTTATTGTGTTGTGATCTTGATGATTGATGCTTCCTGATTGCGACGGATTTGCGACCTGAGACTGCAGACTCGAAATTAATAAAGACGTAATTTAAAATTGCGGACAGGATCACCGGACCAAGTCTGCCCTTCAAATTGTGACTCCGATGTTGCCCAACCTCTATTGCATTAGGTTGTGCGACGCGGAGACACAATCTAGCAATTTAGGGATTTCGTTTGTGATTTTTTCATATTTTGTATAGTACATTACATTAATAATTACATTTTTACATTGTTATTGTGTTGTGATCTTGATGATGATGCTTCTGATTGCGACGGATTTGCGACCGAACTGCAACCAAAATTATAAACGTTAAATTTAAAATTGCGACAGATCACCGACCAATCGCCTTCAAAAATTGTGACCGATTTGCAACCTCTATTCATTATTGCGACCGACACAATCTACAATAGGATTTCGAAGGAATACATGACGAAAATTAGTGACCAATATTTATACTTTTGCGACCGATTAATGTAGTTCGCAAATCCGTCGTTGATTGGATTTAGCGATCGATTTCTTATATTTTGCAACCACTTTGTCGGTCGCAAATTAGCGAATTTTTTGTAGTGCAGGTAACCTCTGAGAGTTTTAACTCTTTTCTTCATTTTTTTCATTCTTTGGTGTTAAAAATGCCTTCTTAGCATTGGTTGTGATAGCAAAAGTTAGAGCATTAATAATAGAAAAAAAGCTCATTAAGTCGAAAACCCGCAAGGGTGGCTTAAGCAAAAGTTAGAGCATTAAAAGAAACAAAAAGAAAGAAAAGATAAAAGCAGAATGCATTTACCTGCAGAAGAAGTGGGCTGCCCATCGGACCAAGTACTGTGTTAGAGTCCTGAGCGTGGTCTCCCAACCAACTAAGCATCTTAGTTAAAATAAGTGGAAACAGCATGCGTCGCCTAGCCATCTACTCGACTACGGGCATCAGTCGAAGGCTACCATAGCCATCAATACCGCTGAGTAATAAGTATTGGCTCAAGATGCAAAAATAGACAAGTGGAGCCTAATGTGGGCTAGTGCGGTTCATCCCCAATGCACGGTCTAAAAGTGGTCGCAAAGGCACGACATCAGCTCTGAAATCATAAGATGGAATCTCAAAAGCTGAGAAACCAAATACTGGCAGAATCATTGAAGTGGGGTCAACGTCAAGTCAAGGCACTGTAGAAATTTCTTCGGTCACAGGTATTCTCCCAGGAATGATGCTAGCTCCTCAAATAATGAATAAATCTCAAAGTCATTATGACGAAATAAGTTGTCCGAATGGTCAAAATGGTTGATCAACCATTGCAGCAGCCCGTGTAGGACCCGAATATTTCGATAATAGCTTAGCTCGTTGAGTTCGAAAGGCAAAAGCACACTCTAGTCTTCACTAGTAAAACTGGGAATAATGCTTCGAATGTAGGTGCTAAGGACCGATCCATGAAGAATGGTGAAGAAATGAAGAGTTTGAGGAAGTTTTTAAATGAAGCTTTGTCTAGAAAGAGAGAAATAAGCTTTTGAAGCGTGTACGGATGTTATGAGCTTTTATAGTAAGAAATAAAAAAACAAGCTCGAAGGCTGCCACTACAGCACTAGTGGCACAAGCCACTACGTGTGGAGTAAGGCACAGCCACAGTGACATACACCACTAGGTAGCAGACAGCTGAAATTTCACTTTTTTTTATCATATTTCGACTTTCAGACTCGATAAGCAGTGCAATCATCAATCATAAAGCAAAAATAAAACATCATGGCCTAGAAACTCGTAAAGAAATAGGTTTTTGCCTTTCTATAAATGAAAATATTCGATTCTTTACAAAAATCATTCCCCAATTGGATCCTAAGTACAAAAGAAAGCGAAATAAAAAGAAAGCAGTGGGCAAGGGTAGCTGCCTCAAGACCCATACAAAGTTGTCTCCTCCGAGTTGTCACTACCAGACTCCTTGGTTTCTTCAACGATAATCAGTCTACGTCTAACTCCGCTTCCAACTCACCCACCATGCTGGAATTCCCGGCCTCGGCCTACCCGAGGCGCCATGCTAACTCTCTGTATACATTCATAAGATCATTAGTAATTATATATCATGCACACATGGCATACACATTGTATATTTTTGTTTGTCTTGTTATTTTTATACTTACAAATATGTGCTCGTCCGAGAGCCTCACCATTGCCAGCTTGAGGCATGCCACTTCATACAACTGACTTACCTCATTGTAGTCAGCAATTGAAACCTGTCGAATCATATAGGGGTAACCAATAAGAGAGTGAAATTATACAGACTCGTCGACAGAGAAAAAGAGAAAAAGACTTACATGGGTGCAATATGGAAAAATGATCCAATATGGGCTCACGAGATGGGTCTCCAACATACCCTGTGCTGCCTACCCCGTGCACTCTAAGATGAAGGAGAAGGAAGCACTTGGGCTATGCTCCAGCCTGCCAATAATGACAGCCGTGTCCGGAGCCTCAAAATCAGAGCCCCTCCTGACATGCTTGTTGCGCTGTTATTGTTGCAATAACAAAGCACAAACAGTAAATAAATAGAATGGGACACTGGGTCAAAGCTGAGAAAAGAATAAAGGAAATAAAGCTTACCCAAGCTGGGGTACGGCCATGATCCCTATCAAGCTCCTCCACTTCAGCAAAGGGGTCAAACTTAGACGGCGGAGGGACATGGACCAGAAGTTGAGTCTATACGAAGATGGCATAGACACTAGGCACGAAAGTTGTCAGTGGTCAGTGGCTATCGATCCTCTGCATGCAGCCGCAATGTCCTGCTCAAGCCTGATAAACCTGGTGGACAGCATGTAATACGACACATCATGAGGCACCCTCCTCCGGTTTGGACCAAGGTCCCACTCGTACACCCTCTCTTCGAGATAGTACATATCGTAAAAGAGGTTGGGCAACAGGAGCATCCTCTGTTGGTACCTAACCGCTGCATGGACGAAGTTAGGATACTCAGCAATTTGCCTCTATGGATATTTTACTATCTACAAAAAAAAAAAAAAAGAAAAAACAAGAGAAAAAGAAAAAGATGAAAGAAAAATTTTAAAAAAAAAAAAAGAGAAGAAGAAATCAATAAGAAAAAAGTGACAGAAGGAGAAAAAAAAGAAAAAGAAATAAAGGCAGTACAAAATAACAACTCACCCGATCGCAGGCTAGGCCATTCAGTATCTGCTTGAATGCTAATATGTCCGAAGTTGTATGAACGTACCTCCAGCTAAATCTCCAAGCTTGACCTCAAGGGAGAGTCCTCTCAGTGGTGGCAATGTCAAAGCCCAGCAAGCTCAGCATAGGGAGGATCTGATGCTCACAAGCCTAAATCTATGCCAAGCAAAAGACAGAAATCAGTAATAAAAGCAAAGAGGAAAGAAGAAAAGAAACAAATCACCAAAAAGAGATTATGGCATTATACCTCAATGACACGCCTATAGCCGACCTTCAAGTGCACCCCTCAGACATAGAGATCCATCCCATAGTATAGATATGACAAGGTAGTAGCTCCCCAATTATACAGATTCGACAAAGCAAAGTATAGGTGGTAGAAGCGCTAGGTCTACGTTATTATCGTGATTTGTGAATAAGGTGGTCGACGGCAGATAGAAAAGGAAAGCTTGAGCCACCACGTCCACATCTATCTCTTCCATGTGTTCTCGAGGCATCTCCTCGTAGTGTGAGATGATGCTCTCGTAGCGTGAGATGATGCTCTCGTAGCCGACCCTCTTATCAGAGATGGTGGGCTCCATCCCGATAATAGCTCTGAGGCTTGCCCGCAAGCCTGGCTAATCTAAAGTCCTTAACTGATTGTCGAATACAACTGATCGCCCTCCGAAAGGAAGCCAATAATAGAGCAAAGTCCACCGAGGTGATAGTCATCTCACTGAATGGCAGATGGAAGGTATGATTAGTGTCTATCCATCGCTCTATTAATTCCAAGATGCTAGAGGGAAGAGTCCGCCACTGCACCGCGGTAAGGTGTTAACAAAATGACCGAAGCCAGCCTCTCGAACATAATCTTGAACCCAGATAGGCAATTGGTCGAACCACTCACCGGCCACGTAAGCGGTACAACCCAATTTTCCACACTTCACGCTCTTCTGCAAAATAAACCCATGTAAGTAAGCTGACAAATAAGTGCAAAGCATAAATTTATGAATTTTGGTGTAGGAAATTGAGAAAAAAATAACAAAAGCAAGTGTTTCACAGTCACTATGGCGTAAGACACTGAGTAGTTGAGCAAGGCACTACTCAAATGGCGTTCGCCACTTTTGTTGTTTAGCACGCCACAGTTCAGCAATCCAGCCAAACAACAACAACAGTAGCGCACAAAACCATAACAACAAGAGAGATAATTGAAGTAGAAGCAAAGAAGACTAAGAAGGATAAGATGGAATTCTCTATATGCTCCGCAGCTACTTATACAATAATGATCTTATGCTTTGATACCAACTTTGTCATGACCCAAAACCGTGGGCCGGACCGGCACTAGAGCCTAGGTAAGCTTAAGGCCACCGATGCTCATAGTAAGCCTAACTCACATGGATCCAATCCTTCAATCCATTTTTAGGAACAATAAGCCTATAATATGATGTTATTAAATCATACCATCAATTTATATTTTTGACCCAACTTCCATATTTCAATTAATTCATAGCTCGGGCCTATAACTTTTCTTTTATACCATTAACATCATTCATAATATGGGCAACCTGGCCCATTCGTGCTTTATAGAGTCAATTAAAAAATTCATAGGTATATTGAACAACACATCAATAACTTTTACATTATAAATTGTAATACATGACTCCCTATCTTTGGAGCTTAGTAAACAGGTGTGGATACATTTTTATACATAATACTCTATATTTAAATATTATCAAAAACTGGTAATTACTACTATAACTCTGCGAAGAAGGAAGCAAACTTATCAAAACCAGCACATTGTCTACCTCCTGGAAAAATTTCAGGAAGTGGGTGAGTTTCACAAAGTCAGTGAATAATGATAAATAATGCATAACCTAAACAGTCACGCAAAATGCTTTTCAACTTTATATAATGAGCATTCATTCAACCAAGCGCATGACACATCATCAGCAATCACAATGATATCACATTCAAATAATCACATCAAATAGAGATTGCTCAGTGGCATCATTACTTTCTCATTTAACAAGAAATCCATTAATCATGTTTTACGACAGAGGAGCCCATCCCTCTATTAGGGCACGAGGAGTCCATCCCCCAGTATGGACTGAGGAGCTCATCCCCCAAATATGAGTTGAGGAGCTGATCCCCCATACGGCCAAGTAGTCTATTCCTCACTTGACCAGTCCTCACATTATTTCTGAGGCCCCAATTCTTAACTGGAGGGGGCTCTTTAATCTGTGGCGAAATACGATTGGGAGGTTTCCATTCTCTTCTTCATTTCCATTACCATCAAGAGGTCACCCTATGGTTTTATGTTTCGACTCATTTTATTCCAATTCCACACGCAGACAAAGCATAGTATTATCATATCACAAGTAATCCAAACAATTCATTTCATATAATAACTCATATCGATAATTAATATGAAGCACATGAGTGTAATCATGGGTATATAATTATATAACATTTGTATGATTGTAATATTTTACTTATATGGTAGATAACGATAATAATAATTATATTTCAATGATATTATATTAATATATGAAGATGAGAGTTGAGTATTGAATATATTTAGATAGTATAGGGTGAACGGTGCATGTATGCAGGTAATGGTATGTACCATTTATTATTACTCACAATGATAAAAGAATGAGCAAGCCTTCATTTGGATTTGACTAGCAAGAGTGTTAGACAAACTCGGACGATCTAGATAAAACACAAATATAAAGGAAAGACTACATTAAACATATGACTTACCTTAAATAATAGTTAAGCTAATATATATCTGCTTAGATATTGGACTGATATAGTTAATCTAAATCTTATCAATATTTTTTAGAGTATTTTCTCTCAAATTGAACTTTCTATTTGTTTAAGTATTAGCTATTTAATACACTTATCGATTATTATTCACACAGCTCATCCATCAGACAATCAATATTTCAATCATCACAAGTAATAATTTTACGTCCAACTCATAGCTTATAGATTAAAATAACCTTCGATCTAATCTCAATACATCCTCAAATATTTGTACGTCATCTCGATATAATTTCCTTCTTTAACCAGGCATCAACTCATAAATCTCTTATACGCACCATATAAATAATCCTTTACTTAATTAACTTTTACTTGAAATATATTATTCTTTAATTAACTCCGGATAGATTACTAAAACTAATACTTCCTTTAGCTTATCATTTTAATTCATATAATATAATTCTAATTCCAAAATAATTGATACTCATCCAATAATGAGTTTCTTTTTAACTTAATCACTTTCCGTCCTCAAGATGATTTGTATAACACTTAAGTATCTAATTTGCTTTCTCGTTTAGTTTATAGTCTTTAATAATACTTAGCTCAAATTAAATTAAGCAACTAATATAATTTAATTACATTTCTATTTCTTTCTCTTTTTAATAATCATATTTCTTATGACCAAGTATTCAATTTACATACTTTACTTATTTTATTTAAAATTCATATCATAAAATCCATATTTATCAAAGTTCTCAATTTATTTTTATGGTAGCAATTATAACTTGCTTAAATTTATTAAAACCTTTATTTTGTTCTTATTCCTTAATTATTTTAATCGCAACTAATTTAATCCCATAACAATAATTTCTACATTGAGATTTACATTGAATTTAATAAACTGAATCTTAAATTATACCGATTAAAAATTGTATTTCAATTCAGGCTCAGTGGGTAATTCTCAAGTTTCTGCCTCCCGGGGTCTCGCCGGAGACTCGTTGATCGGTCGTCGGACCGTCGTCGATGCAGTCGTCTACGATGGCCGAAAAACTATGATTGCTTGCAATCGAGCGCTTCACACCATCTGGCTCAGATTTCACTCAATAGTTCATTTCCAGTGGTGGTTTGCTTAGTACATGGCCTATTTTGCCGGACAGAGATCGACAGTCACCCTAACCTCGTCGTTAATGGCCGCTCCCCAAAACGCCGACGAAAGCTTAAATTGCATGAGGTGATTTATTTGCAGGGAGGAAAGGAATCTATTGATGCTTTGCAGGGAGGAAAGGAATCTATTGATGCTCGTCGTCGGTGCTGGAACTGTCGGAACAAGAAGGAGAGTGTTATAAGTGGAGCTGTTCGATCAAAGAGGAGATCACCGCTCTCCAACGATCATTGCATCTCCTGAAAATGAGAACGGCGAGAGGAAAAGGTGGCGATGGAAGAGCGACGCCGATAAGAAATGTTGACGCCGATCGGTGATCAAGGACTAGAGAGAGAGATAGAGAGAGAGAAAGAGAGGCTGAGCGGCGCTAGAGGGAGAAGAAGAAAGGAAGGAAAAGAAAAAGTAAAAAAGAAAAAGTAAATCAGGGTTTTCTATGCCTTTATGGGTCATCCCGGTTTGATTCGAACCGGTTTGGCCCAACTCAATGATTTTTGATTTGATTTTTGCTTGGTTTATCGGTTTCTCACTTGAATTTCGAAAAAATTCAAACTGGTTTACGGGTCTGGTTTGAAAATAATAAAATATTTTCACTAAATTTCATTGGTTAAAATTTCAATTAAATTTTTAAATGAAAAATCTTTAAAATTGAATTATTGGAGTATTTCATATATATTTTTATTTTAAGATCACTTTTTGGGATATCAAGAATTTGTATCTATGCAGATATATTTCTTTGTCTAATGTACTGGATAAGTAATATTGTCATTATAGCCAAAGTGATTACCATTATTTGTTCAGATAATTTTCTTTTTTTTTTCTTTTACCTAACAGTAAAAATAATTTATTATTATTTTGTATTATAGTTGTATATAAATATTGACTTTGAGATTAAGGGAAGAGGGTTAGAGATTGAGTGATGACTTGTTTTTTTTTTTTAAGCACCTATTAGGGTTTTAAGAATCTGCATTTATAAATTAGGGACTGAAGGTTTAAGTTTAAAGATTTAGTTGAACTTTAGTTTGAGAAACACTTTATTATATAAAAATAAATTAAGTACATAAAAAGCAGTATTATAAGTATCTCGTACGGAAAAGTGCAATACATATTAATCAATTGTATTTATTTTAATTTAAATAAAAATTTATATTTTAATATTATATAAATAAAAAAATTTAAAAGAGTACTAAAAATGAGTACATAACGAGTATAATCAACGATTAACTAACATTATAAAAAAACCGGTAAAAAATAAAAGTTTAGACGTCATAATAGATCCTTAGAAGACTTTGAGATGCTACATGATCAAATATGTAAATATGTGGGGTATTTTTATACATTGGCCAATTATTCTGGAATATTCCAAAAAGTAACAGTGGATAATTTTTTTGGCCCGAGGGAGTAATAAGTAGAAAGTTAGGGATATTTTTGGTAGATTAAATCAAATTAATGCTGCAACAGCCCAAAGAAAAAGCCCAAAGCGTCAAAGCTAATAAATACGAATCTAACAGCTTCTTTCTTCATCTTTGTCTCTTTCCTTCTTCCTGCATTAGTTCTTACATCATCTCTCTCTTTCTTATTCCCTTTCTCCAGAATCTAAATTGCTCAACCGATTTTTCTTACGTTTTTGGATTTCAATCCGCAAATTTACTCTCCGACGCCATGGATCTAGCGCAAGAAGAGCTCCAATTCTTAACCCTGCCTGATATTTTGAGGGAATCAATCTCAATCCCTAAACGCTCTCCAAAAACCTTCTATCTCATAACCCTAACCCTAATCTTTCCTCTATCTTTTGCTATTTTAGCCCATTCTCTCTTTACTCATCCTCTGTTGGCTCATCTTGAGGACCACCCATCAGCTGACGAGAACCAAACCCGCCATGAATGGACTCTTCTCTTGATTATTCAGTTCTGTTATGTAATCTTTCTTTTTGCCTTCTCCCTTCTTTCAACAGCTGCTGTCGTTTTCACGGTTGCCTCTCTTTACACGTCCAAGCCTGTGTCTTTTTCTTCTACCATTGCTGCTATACCCAAGGTTTTTAAGCGATTGTTTATCACTTTTTTTTGGGTATCTTTGTTGATGTTGCTTTATAACTCTATATTTCTTATTTTCTTGGTCATTTTGATTATTGCCATTGATACCCAGAATCCTATTTTAGTGGTTTTCTCTTTGATAGTGATTTTTGTTCTCTTCTTGGTGGTCCATGTGTTTATAACTGCTTTATGGCACTTGGCTAGTGTGGTTTCTGTGCTTGAGCCTGTTTATGGGTTTGCAGCGATGAAAAAGAGCTATGAGTTGCTCAAGGGAAAAACTCGTGTGGCTGCAGTTCTTGTTTTTGGGTATTTAGCAATTTGTGGAGTTATTGGAGGGATTTTTGGGTCTGTAGTTGTGCATGGAGGAGAAAGCTATGGGGTTTTTACTAGAATTGTTGTTGGTGGGTTTTTGGTGGGGGTTTTAGTGATTGTAAATCTAGTGGGATTGTTGGTTCAGAGTGTATTTTACTATGTTTGCAAGAGCTATCACCACCAGGGAATTGATAAGAGTGCTTTACATGAACATCTTGGTGGCTATCTTGGAGAATATGTGCCTTTGAAAAGCAGCGTTCAAATGGAGAACTTGGATATCTAACAGTGAGCTAACAGATAAAGAAATGGCATCATTTGTAAGTTTCTATGTATGTAATATTTGGTACACTTAAGAGGAATCTTTATTATTTGGATACTTCTTATATTTGACCTTTTTCAATAAAAATTTGGAGAAGTACTTCCTTTTAGTTGTATTTTTCTGAACTTCAGATGTCAAGTTGTCCCAAGTGCTGAAAAGTTGTGGTTTAATCCTGACGTTGTATATCAGATTATTGGTCCAACTTCGATCCTATTTTCATGTATTATTAGTTAATCCCAATATGAGAATGATGTGTTTGTTTGATAGATAGGTTTTTGGAAAAAGTATTCAGTGTATTGGTCTTGGTCAATGAGAAATGCAACTCTGGTTTTCTGTTTGTGATGTTAAAATTGCTGTTGTTTTCTTTGTTACCGTAGCTTTCTATGGAAGTCCTAATATTAATAAAATCAAATAAATAATGATGGATAACTAAAATGAATGACTTTTAGATTCATCTGTTTTGTTTAAACTAGTTATGATTTCTCTCGTGAGTATAATTAGCCTTTTTTGTGTCGTTTACATGCAGACTCATGTTGGTTCCCCGATCTTCTTCTTTCTCTATCTCTGAACATGTTTTTCTTCAGATGAAAGACACAAACGTTCAAGTTGACTAGAATAGGTTATACAAGTCTTGATCTTCAGTCATTCATTGACTAATCTTACGAGAAGGAAAACTAATCTTGATTCTCGAGCCATTAATTCAAGGCTAGAATATGTTAAGGTTGATCCTTTCGTTACCTAATCTTACTAGAAGTAAAAATTTGGTCTTTTGGGATTCCCTTTTTATCTGTCCTTTAGCTTTAAGCACAATTGGCTTGGCTTCTTTCTTTCTTGCTTATATTTCCTATAACAATATCTGTTATTTAATGTGAATGTATTGATTTAGTTGACAACTCCTTTTGCTCCTCAAGAGATATGGTCATGTAAAAAATATGGATTTATTCGTAATATCCCTGTGTTTCCTGTTGCTGTTTACTTAGCCAGTCATTACTGTTCTGTTTTAGTTTGTATTATTTTTTTGTCCATCTTTGTTGGATAGACTTTAAAACAAGTGCATGCTCTGTTGCTCGTTTACTTTTCATACCTTGCTCGTTTTATTGGTCAGAGTTTTTGCCTGCACTATTAATCATATAAGGATGTGATGTATTTCTGTTTCATATATTCTTAGCTGAATAAGCATTTAGCCTAACTAGAAATGATTTGTATCTCATTTCCTAGTAGAAAACCCACTGGCAAAGAAGAATGAGCTGTTTTGGTGCTGAGGAAGGAAGTTAAGGATTACTGCATAGATTTCAATTCATTTTTCTGCGTCTTAGCTTTAGGTATAAATGTATTCTTGATTTTCCAAGTTCTAGGGCGTGTTTCAGATTTTCATAGTCCTATAGCTATTTCTTTTGCTCTTTTTTGCAATCTTTGGTCTATTTCTTTACATCTTCTACATGAAGGCTTTTGGTCTTTTTCTTTCCCCTCTCTTTCTGGGAAAGGGTTTAAACATGATAGAAAAGTAGGAAAAAGGATAAAAGAAATAGTGGTTACTAGTTTCTAGGTGCTTGCCATATAAAGGTTTTTATCAGATTACATTTCGTTATGGGTTCTCATAATGGCGTAGTGCTAATGATTGTTATCTATAGATTATTTGATGCACGTATGCTCGCTAGCATGCGCACACACATGTAGAGAAGGATGAGATTGCAGCTACAAGCAGCCTTGTGAAAGCCCTTGATGAAGAAGCTTGAAGATAAATAAAAATAAAAATAAAAAGGGTAACCTACACGGGCAAGTTTCTGTTCTTAACCTACTATCTCTTCCCAGCTAAATGCTCTAGCCATTTGGAATATAGCATGATTCAATTATCTTATTTAGTTGTGCCTAAACATGATATTGTCATTATTATGAATATTGTGTTTCAAATATTCATTAACATTATACCTAGAAATTAACCATTTTGAGGAGGTTTTGTCAGATTGTTTACTTTGCAGTGTCATTATTTTAGGACTGATTCGAGTCCTAAATAAGGATCCTAAATGAGTTTATGATAAATTTTCTTGTTTCTTTTGTGAGTTAATCTTCATTCATGAAGAATGAAATGAATTGACAACAATATCATCTTGGTATCAGATGTTGTACTGAAGTTATTTTAGGTACTATAAGTTTTTGTTTTATTTTATTGAAATGAGTTCATATAAATTCCAATTGGTTCATTAACAATACATCTAGAGTCTGCAAGAATGGTTAATGGCTGGTGGAATATATCTGTTGTCATAACTTGCTCTTTGGAACCCCAACTGGTGAACTTCTAGACCTCTTCTCCACCGTTCGCGACTGTTGCTTTACTGCATCTTTTGGCATATAACGAGGTTTTCTCAGCCAATCCCCTCCATCAACCACCAAAGTTGTTCCATTAACATATTTTCCTGGGCAGAAAAAGGTGCATGTGAATACATCTATTAAAGAAGTCTGCAATGCAAAGAGAAATGCAGACTTATAAGTAAAGGGATATAAACTAACCTGCATCCGATGTCAGATATAAAGCAGCCATAGCAATATCCCATTTCTCCCCCAAGTTATCTAAAGGCATCTTCTCCTTGGCTACTCTCAAAATCTCCTCAGGTGCAAGTTTACTAAGACCAGTAGTATCTCTAATAGGTCCTGGTGCAATTCCATTCACTCTAACATCGTAATCTGTCCCCCATTCCAATGCCAAGCTTCGTGTAATGCTATCTACTGCTGCCTGTACAATTACGCCAATTTGAAGAAACTTCCAATATGGTTCTCAAAGAATAAATTTCAACTTCCAAACCTAATCAATAAAAAACCAACCTTTGCAGCAGATACATGGATTTGATACCAAGTAGCAGTATAATGCAAAGTTGCACTTATATTTATTATTGATCCACCAGTAGATGAATCCTTCCCTTGGCCTCCCTGCTTAAGGTACTTGAGTGCTTCATGACTCATTGTAAAAGTGCCAACAGCATCTATATCCATTACTGCAAAATACAACTAACTTTATTCCTCAGAGACCCTCACATGAATATGAAACCGCTAAACCATTTATGTTGAAAACATGCAAGGAGAATATTAAACCAGAGGAGGGGACTTGCATTGTGTGATTTGGACAGGTGATACAATATTGAAAACAAACTTTGTAAACAGTTACTATATAAATGTTAATCTGATATACACCTTTTAACTAACTAGTGCCATCATATTTAGGATCGTTTTGATACTACTGTCTAAACTGCTGCTGAGAAAAATATCATGTTGAAAATATTGATTATAGGTAATTAAAGTTTGTTTTTAAAATGAATTTCACAAGTTTTAGTCAGGTAAGCTTTAGATCAGCCAAGTAATTATCAAACTGTTTTTTCAAAACTGATGTTTTTCTGGAAAAGTAATTAAACTCGTTCCATAAGATTAATAAGCAAGCTTGAACTCATTTATTAAACGAGCTCTAGTTCAATCCTGTAAATAGAAACAATTAACTATGAATCGTAAAGGAGCCAAGCTTGGTTTTCAAGCTCAACTCGAGTTCAGATTTGCCTCGAATGAGCTTCAAGCTCAATAGAGCTTCGCTTATTTACACCCCTCCATATGGCCCAAAGAAGACTTTCCATTTGTAAATATACACTATCTTTTACTTCTATTATTTGCAACTTTTGAGTACGTTCAGTTTATTCTGAGGTTTCAAATTGGGTATTCATTCTTTGATGTCTACATATCAAACCGACCATGTTCTATTGGACCAAATTGACCAAAAAGGATTTGAAAGAAATAGTTGGATGAATTCTACAGAGGCATACGTATAATGTTTGTTATAATGAGCAAATATCAAAGTCTCACCTAACACTTAGATCAGTTGCTAAGTAATCTTTCTCACCTTAAAATCAAATTATCAGGAAGTCATGGTTATGAAGAAACATACCTGTTCGAAAGCCATTAGGGGATAAATCCTCCGGTGTAACTAGAAAATTGCCAGCAGCAGCATTCACAAGAATGTCAAGCCTGCCAAAATGTCTAATAGTGGATTCCAGAACTTTAACTGCATCATCTCTCTTGCGAACATCTCCCTCAAGTCCTATAGCCTGCAATATATGCCAATAATTTCTTTAACTAGCAAAGTCAGATTTAGAAACTAATTTAATTATGCAGATAAAACAACAGAAAAAAAAAAAAAAAGCAAACATAGTTCGGGTTTGATTTGCCTTCTCCTCAACAAAAACATTTGTAATCATAAACCTTATAGGAAGATCCAAAAAGTATTTACACTAACATTGTTGACTAGCTAAATTATTAATTTTGTAACTGTTCTGTTCATTGTTGAGCCTTTATTTAGCATAAATTAATTTGAAGAATAGAGTTCATTCGCAAACAGGAATTTCTTAGTATTTTTATTGAATTATGTAAAGACTAGGGTCTATTTGGAGAACTATTGGTAAGCATTTGGTAAACTGAATTGAACTTTCTTAGTAATTGAAACTAACAACTCTAAAATACTAATCCAATCGAATTTAGTAAAAAACCAAATATAACTGAAATTGACAGTTTGATTTGATGCTCAGTTATAACTATATTAATTGAATAATAACAATTTTATGATTTAAAATTACTAGTTCATGTTTCGTAAATATATTTTTAATAAAAAAATATAATTATAGACATATTACTATTAAAAGATAATTTCATTATTTAAACTACAATTTTTTTTTTTTTTTTTTGATAATAACTACAAATTATTAATGAGAAACGAATTAAAAATAATATATTGGTAATTAAAATCATATTCTAGACATTAAATAATAAAAGTTCATTTATTTCAATTGTTCTTTTTTCGGTTGGAGAAAATGTTGAAAATAATGAACATTATGAGATTCTTGAATATATATCTATCTGAAACAAATACGGTTTGATAGAATATGGTATAATCTGAAAAGGGTCCTTAAAATCCTAGATTTTCTCAGACTTTCCCAACAGCCAAACAGGTTACAAATGCAATACACAAACCAACATCAATAATACGAAATGAATGAAACAAAAATGCCCAGATCGCCAAACAGCACTCTTACTGTGAAAGAAACAGATAATAAAGCAAAGAAAATCAAAGAACAGGAAAGACAATTTACAGGAATTCCAAGAGAGTGGAGAGATGCAACAGCAGAATCAAGAACATGTTTGCGTCGACCCATGACAGCAACAGAACATCCATGTTTACCCAGTTGAAGGGATATCTCATACCCGATTCCCGATCCACCTCCGGTCAACAAAGCAACCTTTCCTCTCAATATATCTGCCTTGAACGGTGAGTCAACCATTGGATCGAAGCTTTGTTTCTTTCGAAAGTCCTACGACTTGATCGATTGGAATTGGTAGTGACAGTTTTATCAGAGCTAGTTTACGTATCGATTATTACAATGCAGGCAGTGGGGTCATGCTTTTAGACTATCTGTCCGGCAACACTGTACCGTTTTGTATACATGGTTCAATATACAATTTAATCAATAAAAATTACTTTATCTTTCTTTAATTTATCAACATATTAATAAAAACCCTTCACTAATAAATAATTATAAAGATTATTATAGAAAAAATAATTGTTTAGATATATAATTTTAAAAACCTTATACAATATTTTGGAACATTCAAAAAAGGAATAACAAGCAAACAAAATGGAACGGAAATAATATTTTATTTCAAATAATGATATTTCTAATTATAAACTCAAAAAATAAAACAACCAAGTAACATTTTTTTTTTCTTAAATCTTCTTTTGATTGGCTTGGTGTATGAGACCATCTACATACCAGGTCTAGGTAAAAAACTTTTCCAAAGGTATTAACTAGGAGAATGCATTGGTTGAGTACATATAGACATATAATTTTCAGTCTCGTCCGAAATAATATATGTAAAAAATAAGTTCCAGTCTCATTCTAGCAGGTATATAGTTCGTATCTTTTGTTCCATTTTTTTGGACTCAACCGAATGGGATGAGAGCTCGAATATATAGGATGTAATGAAATAATGGTAAAAAATAAATTAAAATTTTTCATTTTCTTAGTAAATTGCATTAGTTATCAATTACAATCAAACAAAATTCATACATAGAAATTTAAGAATAAATAAAAGTCAAATAATTTAACTATTGATCTGCTACTAAAATTACAATAGAATAGTTTTTAATTGTTAGTTTTTAGTTAATAAGAGCATAAGTATAACAAAACAAAATAATTCACAGACTCAGTGCAATTTAATTTTACATACAACTTATAACCTTTTAACTTCATTGCTTTTATTATTATTACCTTTGAGCAAATTCAAATTTTGATGCTTATTTGATATAATCCCCAACGTGCATTAAATATAACCAGTAATTAAATTAAATTACAGTTTCTCTTTTTACAAATTAATATTTTCATTTTTCTATTTGATAAAATTATTCAGAAAAATTTATTTAAGATGAAAATTTATGTTGAAAATTTTATTAAATTTATTTATCAATTTTATATTTAGAAAAATATATTTATTTTCTTTTATATTATTATTACCTTAACAAGTGATTCGTGTAGTAAACAAACTAAAAATAGAAAGGATGAAAGAGATTTTCATGGACATAATTTGAGATTCATAAAAAGAAAGAGAGAGATAGACACTTAAAATTTTAGAGAAACAATGGAATGAAAATATATGATTTTCGGGATGAGATGCATATGAGTTAGTTTTAATCAAAAACACCAATCTCGTCACATAATTACTTTTAGGATGAGACTATTAAATTAATATAAGATTTTTCTCAGAATGAAAAATTCAATATGGTTTTTGAGAACAAAACAGGATTTCTATAATCCCAGAAGATTTGACCTAATCAATGTGCTTACAACCTCAGGTTTACTTTTGAGACTGTCTCATGTAAACTCCTCATATTCAATGTCTGTCACTGACTATTTAGAATTTTAGATGCAGAATTGAAAAATATAGAAATATGGGTTAGAATACTATGTTAAAATTACCATATTTTTCATAAAATATATGACCTATCTCATTCGCATGTCTTACCAAATCGAGTAGCAAGACTGTTTATTTCATGCTAGGCACTCAATTCCCTCTCATCCTAAAACACTTACTATAGCTATGTGACAATTCAAAGACATAATAACAAAACTAAAATTATAAATATAAACGAACTAGTTATTGCTCGTGTTTTGTGCGATTTTTTAAAATATTTATAAACTAGATAAATGGACTTAATATCCAAGTGGGTTGTTTTCTATGTTCTCTCTTGTCTGTCATGATAGGAGTTTTTTTCTCTTGTTTAGATAATAAGATTTAATATCAAGTTGTTCTTTTTTTTCATCTTTTTCCACCTTTGGTAATCTTTGAATTTTTTATCCAATGACATTAGAACGAACTGTAGAGAACTTGATTGCTCATGTCCATGTGCAACTTAATTTATAGGAAGAATAAAGGAGAGTAGTAGTGCAACAGGTGGGACAACAGTCAGCTGAGTTTACACCTGACAATGATTGGAAGTACTATGTGGTGGGTCGATTGATGATTGTATAAGTCCATTAATTTTCCAATGTTCCAAGAGACAATGGCCAGTGTTTGGAGGCTAGTGAAGAGTCTTCTTATAAAGGATGTTGGTAATAATACTTATTTTGTTCCAGTTTTTCCATGAGTACGATGTTGAAACGGTAGTAAAGGGAGGTCCGTGGAGTTTTTTCCAAAATCTAATTCTTATGAAGGAGTTGCAGCCAGTGATAATCCAAAAGCTGTGGAGTTAACACGAGCCGACTTTTGGACTTTAGAGTAGCTTTATGTCTGAGTGTGTTGGACGTGATATTGGCAATGTATTAGGAGTTTATCTTGAATTAGACCCATGTAATTACTCTAGTTTCTAGAAAGAGTATATGAGGATTCGAGTTAGCTTGGATGTTAGATAGCCTCTTAAGTGTTAGATGAAGCTGGCAAAACCTTGTGGGGAGTGGTATTGGGTGGATTTTAAATATGAATGACTTTCATCTTTTTGTTTTTTCTGTGGATTACTCAACCATTTAGATTGCTTTTGTGCAAAGTTGTTTGATGTACCATATATTCTAAGAGATGGTTTTCCACATGGTCCATGGATGAAGGCTCCAATTGATAGATCACCATGAAGATCTGCAAGGGTGCCTATCAAGAATAAGAAGTACTTGGACTAAGTCTTTGCTTTAGCTTATATCTCTGCTGCTGTTGGAATTATTTTCCGCTGTAATTATTTTTTATGTTGGTTTAATAAAGTTAATTTGCTGTTGTGATTGTGTCAGCAAATCTGGGCTATTTTAACTCATAAAGTGCCGTTTGTGGCCTTTAGAATAGGACTAAGTAGTTTTCATTCTTTTCCTATTTATTTCCCTTGTATCTGTAGCAGAGTTCATCAATGAAAAACACTTGAAACTTCTTACTCTCTTGTTCAAGTCTCTTGGCTTTGACAGGGAACCATTAGTGGTATCAGAGCCAGTTTATCTTATTCTCTTCTTTTCTTTTCCTCTTTTCATGGCTACAAACAAAGAGCAAATCGAAAATTTAGAGGTTGGGCTTGGCCAGCTCCAAGATAATTTATCTAAAATGGAACGTAGAATTAGTGATGAGCTACAACAAATCAAGGCAGCCATTACTAAGTTCTCTGAAATTGCTTTACCCAGCAGAGATGATTCTGGTAGTGCAAGTAATCGGAACAGCCAAATTCATATCAACCAAGATGTGACCAAAGAAGGAGGGCGACCCATGTTCTCTTCCAAATTGGCGAAATTAGAGTTCCCAAAGTATTCAGGAAAGGATCCAACAGAATGGTTCACTAGGGTGAGCGAATTTTTTGAATCCCAAGAGACCCCAAAAACTGAGAAGGTATCCTTGGCTTCTTACCACCTTCGAGGGGAGGCCAATGAATGGTGGCAGTGGCTTTGCAGAACCCATAAGGAAGAAGGAAAAGATGTGTCGTGGGAAGTTTTCTCTGAGGAAATTATGGTCTTGCTTTGGGCCTACTGATTGCGAAGACTTTGATGAGTCTTTATCAAAAATTCATCAAACAGGACTCTTACGAGACTATCAAAGGGAGTTCGAAAGGCTTGGAAACAGGGTTAAAGGTTGGACTCAGAAAGCGCTAGCTGTGACTTTAAACCAGAAATTGCCAACGACATTAGAATGTTCAAACCAAAAGCATTAAAGGACGCCATCAGTTTAGCTCGAATGAAAGATGAGCAATTGTTGCGCCAAAAGAAGGCAATTCGCCCATCTTACCAGAGAGCTCTTCATCTCCGACAAAAACTAAACCATCCACTCCAGTGAAGCAGCTTACCTGGGAAGAGATGCAGGAACGTGGACTCAGGGGTTGTGCTTTAACTATGATGAGAAGTTTGTCCCTGGACACAGGTGTTCCAAACCGCAACTCCTTCTCCTGTATGGCGAATTTGACATTGAGGAAGATGATGATGATTTCGAACCTGAGATCTCATTACACGCACTTACTGGGTGGTCCTCAACAAGTACTATGCGGGTTGCTATTAAGATCAAGTCCCTCGAATTAATTATCCTCATTGATAGCGGATCCACATATAACTTCATCAATGAAAAGATACCTGGATTACTCAAACTGCCAGTGGAGCCAACTACACCTTTTAATGTGAAAGTAGCGAATGGAAGCCCTTTGTAGTGTAACGGGAAATTCAGAAATACTCCTATTCTCTTACAAGGTATACCCTTTGTTGTTACATTCTATGCCCTGCCAATTATGGGTTTGGATGTGGTGTTAGGAGTTCAATGGCTTCAGCAATTGGGGACGGTTCAATGTAATTGGAAACGGCTGACAATGGACTTTACCATCAATGAAAAGATACCTGGATTACTCAAACTGCCAGTGGAGCCAACTACACCTTTTAATGTGAAAGTAGCGAATGGAAGCCCTTTGTAGTGTAACGGGAAATTCAGAAATACTCCTATTCTCTTACAAGGTATACCCTTTGTTGTTACATTCTATGCCCTGCCAATTATGGGTTTGGATGTGGTGTTAGGAGTTCAATGGCTTCAGCAATTGGGGACGGTTCAATGTAATTGGAAACGGCTGACAATGGACTTTACTTGGAAAGGCCAGCAACAACACCTACAAGGAATCAAAGATCAACAGATTAAATCTTTTTCCTTGAAGGCGATGTCCAAAGAACTAAGAGACAGCAACTCACTCTTTGCCATTTGCGTGGAATCCTCATCAACAATTTTCCCTGAAGAAATTCACCTAGAAATGCAAATTTTGCTAGATCAGTTTTCTGATATCTATCAAAGGCCGAATCAGCTTCCTCCAGAGCGGGAAATTAACCACCGAATCAACCTCAAAGAGGGAACGAATCCCATCAATGTTCGGCCGTACAGGTA